GTTATCGACTTTGACAGAAAAAGTGCGGTTAGACAGATAGTCCCCAAGCCAACTGACTAGGATAGGCGGGATTCCAAAAGCGTTAAGTTTCCGTAGTAGGAGGTCATGGGGCACCATATCGAACGCCTTTTTGAAGTCGAAGAAGACAACATCGAGAGTTTTGTGTTCTTTGAGTATAGACTTATATTGAGAGGTCGAGTAAATTAGAGCATTGGTGCAGGAGCGACAGGAGAGGAAACTAAATTGGAAAGGGGAGAATTGGTGTACAAGATCTAAACGGATTCGCGTGCATATGATGCGTTCAAAGATTCCAGCGAAGGGGTCAGTGATTGAGATTGGTCTGTAGTTGTCAGGGGAGCATAAAATCTTCATTAACACCGATTCAAAGTGGCTAAACCGCACGCTAAATACTCGGTAAACCCAAAATAAGTTTGATTATTATGAAGCAGGAAATTGATTGGAGCCAGGTGAGGTGGACCAAATCCGAAGATTGAGAGCATCGCTTTGATATGACTCTTGTTGGGGAAAAACGTATAATCATGACCTACTTTCTTCGAATTTTATATTTGGTGGGTCCCCCCACGAAAACTACAGTAATCCAAAAAATTCTTCAGACTAGGTCGTATTTGTACTCATTTTGAAGCTCTGAACGCGAGAAAAACTGCGAAATGAGTCCCAGATACCTCTAGTCCTCAGCTTTGGCTTCCAAAGTGCTCCAAGATCCTCATCTCGATGACACTGATACATTATGGCATCCTCCGAAAAGTACTTTTTGATGATTCCTGAGTTTCCATACTTCAGTGCCAAATGAAAGCCATCCAGCCAGGTTTCAATGATTTTTTCAGATCCATCAGGTACCGGAAGTACCGTATACGACAAGGAGAAAACTGGCAAAAAAAGTAGAACGATGAGAAATCTCATTTAGAAATTTTAAACTGAAAATTTTTTGAAAATTGAGCTGTTGTCATTTTTTCCACGCTTACAATGATAGGACAGTATCTATCAATAATCTCAATTTTTGATTAAAAAAGTAGATAAGGAGATCCAAAAATTAGACAGAATAAGACAAGACTAAAAAGATAATTATGATAATTGCAATTAGGAAAAATGGGTTCGATGGTTGAGATGCTGTATTATACCATGGCATTGGATAGTAGTTTTGACGGGAATACGGGTTATAGCCAGATGGATTGTAGGTTTGAATTTGTTGTTGGTTCATGGGAAGTTTTGCTGCTTCACGGGCGAAAATCTGGAAATGTTTTCTTTGATTTTCAGGCGTAATTTGAGTTTTTAAAGATTTTGAATAGCTTCATTGTTATCAGCTTGTCAAAAGCTTCAAAATGAGTATAATCATGACCTAGTCTGAAGAATTTTTAGGATTACTGTAGCTTTCGTGGTGGGACCCACCAATAATAAAATTCAAGGAAAGTAGGTCATGTTTACCCTCATTTTGAAGCTCTAAACAAAACAAAAATGGTGAGCGTATTGAAAAACGTCAAAACTGAGAAATAAATCGACTGAATTTAACAAAAAAAAACTTCAGGGTTACTGTAGTTTTCGTGGTGGGACCCATGAAATATGGAGGTTAGAGAAATTAGGTCATGATTATATTCATTTTGAAGCTTGGAACTTGATCAAAACAATGGAATTGCTTGAAAATAACCAAAATGTTGTAGGTTATTTAAAAAAAAATTAAACAAATAATTTTTTTTCGAGTTTTTTTTGAATATCAATTTTCTGGTGAAATTTTCATTTTTCGTAGTTTTTAATATTTTGACTGTCATCAACTCTGCAAGAGCTTCAAAATGAGTATGAACATGACCCAATTTGAATAATTTTTAGGATTACTGTAGTTTTCGTGATGGGAGCCACAAAAAATGGAATTCGAAGAAAGTAGGTCATGTTTAACTGCAAATTACTCATTTGCACTAGTTTTCTGGAATTTCTGGATTTCAAACTTTCCAAATCCCTTACCGATGGATGATTACAACTGCCACCTTTACAACAGCAAAAATAGCATGGTCCATTTGGCGTGTTCACCATACTACAACCTTGTTGATTCACAAATCCAGCACCTTCTCCACACACAGCGCCACCGACCTGGAAATTTCAGATTTTCAGATTTTCAGATTCTCAGGATTTCAGAGTCTTCGATTCTTAAAATCTCAGAACCTCAAATTTTTGAAGCCCTTCAATCTCTGATTTTAAGAAAAAATTTCAATAAGTCTAAAAGAATAACTAACCTCAATTGGAAAGTTAGCGGCACATCCGAAATTGGCCTGTTGCGTAGCCGGTTGGTATCTGAAAACTCAATTTTTCAGTATTTTCATTATTTTCATCATTTTTGTCTTGTTAAGAGCTTTAAAATGAGTTTAATGATGGCATAGTTTGTCAAAATTGGGTCCCACCACGAAAACCACAGTAATCCTAAAAATTCTTCAAACTAGGTCATGTTTGTACTCATTTTGAAGCTCTCAGTGTGCCAGAAACAATGATAACATTTTCATAGTTCTCAAAATCCCAAGTTTCTTATTTTTTTTAAAAATCCATGTTTCTGCGTCCCACCGTGAAAACTAGGTAAATCTAGAATTACTTCTGAAATGTTGATTTTTGTCTATTCATTATTTTTCTCACGTAGAGAACTTCAAAATAAGTATAAACATGGCCTACTTTCCTCGAAATTTGTTTTTCGGGTCCCACCACGAAAACTACAGTAACCCTAGAAAATTATTCAAACTAGGTCATGATTATACTCGTTTTGAAGCTCGCAACGCCCCAAAAACGATGAAAATTACCTCGGATAAGCAGATGTGAAAGAATCCTTTAGATTTCCATAAAACGGAGAATTCGTGGTAAATTGAAATGGGCTTTGTGAAGTTAGATAATTATAAGAACCATAAGTTGAAGGAGCACCAAACATAATTGTTGGTGTAAATGAATAAATGTGAAAGTGTCGAAATTTCTGTATATTTGCACATGTGCAACAACGACGTCAAGTACCCCCTGTATTCTTCTAAAAGAGAGGGGGAGAGAGGGAGAGACGCAGAGAAATTGAATGTGTCTATGCGCCTTTAATCAAACATACTTATGGAAGATATGGTAATAGAGATTACTAGTTTCTAGGAACAAAGTTTGGGAACTAAATTTAGGGAGGTCCTAAAAAAATATACCGTAAACACTCTAATAGAACGACATCCTATATTTGAATTTAGAGCCCATTTATCTCGGCTCCTGAAAAAAATATCAAAAAGTGTTCAACTGATAAAATGTGTAAAATTTTATGATAAACATTTCATCTGTTGGCAACTTTTTGATAGCTTTTAAAGAAAATGTGATGCACAGGCTCAAAATTGACAGATTAAGGAGGTTTTGAGATATAATTTTTTCTACAATTTGTGGACCAAAATTATCTGCTTGTTTGTAAAACTATTTTCTTTAGTTACCCTAATTAAGTTCAATTAACTCACGAAACAGCACACCAATCTCGATTTATCGCCTGACCACACTGTTGGTTTTGAAAGCCTCCTTGACGACTTGTGAGAAGATATTGACCTGCAATTTGTGGAATTCGGATTTTTTTATTTGGAAAATGATATTTATAGAGATTTCAAATTAATTTTCAACAGTTTTGGCGCGCTAACAGCTTCAAAATGAGTATAAATATGACTATATTTGAGGAAAAACTTTTATTGAAAATATTTTTTTACAAATTTTGTTCAGCCGTTTTCAGCTTAACGTTTGTTTTCCTTGACATCAAAATGATTTTATCATCATTGCCTCTTCGAAAGCTTCAAAATGAGTATAAACATGACCTAGTTTGAAGAATTTTCAGGATTAATGTAGTTTTCGTGGTGGGACCCACCAATTATGGAGTTCGAAGAAAGTAGGTCATGATTATACTCATTTTAAAGCTTTAAACATAAGAAAAATGATGAAAATATTAACAAAACTTTGAATGTAGCACAACTTTGACTAAATGCGACAATTTTTTTTTGTAAATAACACATTTTTGGAAATTTCAGTTTTCTGCCGAGTGACTCGATTTTTAATTAATTTCATAGTTTTTTTCACGTCGAGAGCTTCAAAATGAGTATAAGCATGACCTAGTTTGAAGAAATTTCAGGATTACTGTAGTTTTCGTGGTGGGACCCAAAAATAAGGAATTGGAATAACGTGGGTCATGGTTATACTCATTTTGAAGCACTGAACAAAACAAAAACCATAAAAATATTGAAAAGCTTCAAAAAAGAAAAATGTGAAACCCACCATAATAACAGTTCCCGTTGGGTTGTGGTGGACAATTCACCACAAACTTGAATATCATGAAAATTAGAAAAATCTTCATTTTTTTCAAATAAAAAAAGTTTCAAAAAAAGTTTTTTCCAGAAATTTCTTTTTCAGCTACAACTCCAGAAATGTTTATTGATATTGATATGATAGTGATATATGACAAGAGAGAGAGAGAGAGGGAAAAAAGGAGTGGCCCCCCTTTTTGTATGCTTTTCCAATTTTCCTCAAATAATTGAAAAAGCATTTTTTTTTCATGTGTATATAGAAAACGAAAAAAAGTATTTGAATGAAAAAAGAGAAAGTGCTTGTAATTGGATTTTAATACGATTTTCGTACTACTACTGTACAAAAATATTTTTTTGGCAAAACAAATTTTTTAAAGAATTATTTTTAAACATTTAAAAAAAATTTGAAAACTTAAAAAATTTTCAAAATTAAAATTAAAATTAAAAAAAACAATTTTTAAAAAAAATTTAAAATTTAAAAAATTTAGAAATTTTATTTTTACAGCCAAATTGAAATTCAAAAGAAAAAATACAGAAGAAAAAGCATCACGACAAAAAAGTTTCAAAAAAAGCTCCATTTGGGAAAAAATACCCGAAGTTGAAAATTTTCAAATTTTCAAAAATTCCCAAAAATTCAAAATTCAAAGAAATGTGGGGTTATGGCTACTCAGAAGTCGTACATCTACCACATCCATTTCCAATTCATCTTCATTTGTCGACGTGGCTACTGTAGCCATCTCAGGATGCGTATATCCGTTAGCTAGGCTGGTGGGCGGAGCTTGGATGGCTGTTAGGGAGTTCATCGAGCCGTTTACCTGAAAAATCATTTTTTTTTGAGCTTTCGGAGCAAATTTATCGTTTTCAGCGCGTTGAGAGCTTTAAAATGAGTATGATCATGACCTACTTTCCTTGAATTTCATACAGTTGTTGGGTCCCACTACGGAAACTACAGTAACCCTAAAAGTCTTCAAACTAGGTCATGTTTATACTCATTTTAAAGCTCTCAATGTGAGAAAAACTATGAAATAGGTTTCACGTCGCAAAAATCAAAGTTTCAGGAGAAATTCAAGATTTACCTAGTTTGAAAATTTGGAAAAATTTTTTTTTGGAAAAACAACTTTCAGGTCATTTCCGTTTTTCAGAGTTTCATCGATTTTTATTGATTTTGACTTATTGAGAGCTTTAAAATGAGTATAAACAAGGCCTATTTTTAAGAATTTTTCGGGATTACTGTAGTTTTCGGGGTGGGACCCACCAAATAAAAAATTCAAGGAAAGTAGGCCGTGATTATACTCATTTTGAAGCTCTCAGTGAAACAAATATTAATAAATTAGTGAAAATCTGACAAATTCTCAAGAAATTTCGGAAAAAAGTTGTTTCTAAAAAAAAGATATATTACCTGATAATTAGAATTCGAATTTGTCTGTAATGAAACCAGTTTCCTGTCCAGAAGTGCTGTCGATGCTGTCGTCGTTGTCGTTTTCCTCATTGAACTGGAATTACGATTGGAACGGTATCTGTGTTGCAGTTGTCCGTTGAGCGCGCCTGCAATTTTTTTTGTTTTTCAAACTTTCCAGACGAAATTTTCATTTCTGAGGATTGAATATGTTTCCATTATTTTTGTTTCAATGAGAGCTTCGAAATGAGTATAAACATGACCTATTTTGAAGAATTTTTCGGATTACTGTAGTTTTCGTGGCGGGACCCCTCAAATATGAAACTTGAAGAAAGTAGGTCATGTTTATACTCATTTTGAAGCTCTAAGCAATCTAAAAACGATGAGAGCATTGAAAACTATGTAAAGTAAAAGGTATTCAACCTACCATAAAGAATCCAATTGACAGCTGAATTGGTGAATGGTAATGCGTGTATAAAGTACATGATATACACAAAAACGGGCGGTACACTCGCCGAATTTGCTGAATTTTCTAGATAAACTGCGAAAAGTGTTGCCATCCAGAACGGTGTCCAGCAGAGGAAATAGAAGCAGGCGACGGCCAAAGTGTACAGGGAAATGTGCAAAAATGGAATTTGAGAGCTCTGGAAAATTTTGAATTTTTGAAAATTGTTTTCTTCAAAACCATTTACCTTAAACGTCCTTGTATGCTCTCGAAGTTTGCTGAGCAATTTGGTATAGAAATATGCGATTAGGACCAGTGGTGTACAGTAGCATAGAAAGAACTGAAACTTAATTTTTACTTTCTGTTTTTTAACTAAATCATCGAATTTCACTGACTGAGAGCTTCAAAATGAGTATAATCATGACCCGCTTCCCTCGAATTTCATATTTTCTGGGTCCCATAATGAAAACTACAGTAATCCAAAAAGTTCTTTAAACTAGGTCATGTTTATACTCATTTTGAAGCTCTTAAAAAGACAAAAACCATAAAATTACTAAAAAATCAAGATAATTATTGAAAATGTGGCAGAAACTGAAATCTACGAAAATTTTTTTTTTCAGTTTTATTTTCAAGATTTAGTTATAATTCTCACTTTTGAACTATTTTAACACAATCATCAAGTTTAACACGTTGAGAGCTTTGAAATGAGTATAATCATGACCTACTTTCCTCGAATTTTATATTTGGTGGGTCCCACCACGAAAACTACAGTAATTTAAAAAAAACTCTTCAAACGAGGTCATGATTATACTCATTTTGAAGCTCTCAACGCAAGAAAAACAATGATAAAAATTTCACTTCGCAAAAATCAAAACTTCAAAAGATATTCAAGGTTTACCTGGAATGAATTTGAATTTTTGGTTTCTGTAACTCCCAAAGTTCAATTTTTGCTTTTTATTCATTTTTGACTAGACCAATGAATTTTAACAGTTGAGAGCTTTTAAATGAGTATAACCATGAGCCACTTTCCTCGAATTCCAAATTTCCGGGTCTCACCACGAAAACTACAGTAATCCAAAAATTTCTTCAAACTAGGTCATGTTTATACTCATTTTGAAGCACTCAATGCGAGAAAAACAATAAAAAAGGTTGCACAGAGCAAAAATCAAAATTCCAGACGAAATTCAAGATTTACTTGATAAATCGTAAACGCCGTAAACATAGAAGAGTCGATATCCACCGTGCATTTTTCGATTTTCATTCGGGTCAAGGTTCCAGGTGCTGAAAACTTGGATTTTTTCAATTTTTCCCTTGTTTAGAACTCAATTTTCACTCAATTTCCCTCGTTTTCTCAATTTTCTGTTAGAACTAATCCCCCAAGAAGAACTATTAGTGGAGAAACTAATTGGAAAATAAATGGAAAAAAAAAGAGAAGAGGATTTGAGAAGAAAAAGATCAAAAATTGTCAATGGAGCGCACTTTGAGCAGAAAAAAAGGATTACTGTACCTGTCTCCTTGGCATACAGTATGATTTCTCTTGCGTAAACGACCAAAGTAGAGGGCACAGTGAGATGAATGCGTAGACAGCCAGAACTGAAAATTTTTAAGATTTCCGAGATTTTTCAAAATTCCCCAAATTCAGGACTTCCACTTACCCAACAAAATAGTGATTGCGAAATTTCGGGACCTCAAAAATTTCTGCTGCGGATGACACACCCCGGCGTATCGATCGAAACTCATCGCCGTCAGAATTAGAGCGCTCAGGATTTTTCCGAAATTCTCAAAAACGGCATGAAGTTTGCATGGGATCTTTCCAAACATCCAGAAGCCGAGAATCTGAAATTTTGATTTTTCTAAAATTGGGACACCAAGGCTGTCGACCAGCCGAGGCCGGAGGGGAATCGGAAGGGCAGGCCGGCCGCGACAGTAAATCGGTTGACTTTTGGAGCATCCAAAAAAGTAACTTAAACTAATTCAAATTTTCAGAAAATTCCAGAGTATACTAAACAAACATAGAGCTTCATTTTTGTAGTTGACAACTTTTTTTACAAATGCGCTTTAATGAGATATTCCACTTGGAAGACGGCTTGCTTGCTCAACGACACGCCAACTGCACACTCAACGGAAAAACAGGAATATCTCAATAGAACGCATTCTCACAAAAAAGTTGTCAACTACAAAAACGAAGATGCATTCTCGTTTAGTCTAGTCTCCAAATTTCAAGCAGATCCAAAAATTTTGGTCGTCTAGAAACCCTCTAGTAGTACCGACGGCCGACCGAGGAGCCGCTGACCGGCAGGCTTCCCAAAAATGATGGTTTTTGAATCATCTAAAAAAGTATTTTTAACTATTTCAGTCTTTTCAAAAATTTTATAGGCTACTAAACAAAACTAGAGCTTTATTTTTGTAGTTGGCGACTTTTTCGTACAAACGCGCTCTGATGAGATATGCCACGTGGAAAACGCCTTGCTCAACGACACGCCAACTGCACGGAAAAACAGGCATATCTCAATAGAGCGCAATGCACAAAAAAAGTTGTCAACTACAAAAATGAAACTCTATGTTTGTTTAGTATACTCTGAAATTTTCAAAACAATTCCAAAATGTGTGAACCACTTTGGACCTAGAAACCCTCTTGTCCTACCGACGGAAGACCGAAAGTTCGGGTTTACAATAATTTTGATTTTTGGATAAACCAAAAATTATTTAAAACGTTCTCTGATTCTTCCACATCGAGGCAACATTCAGGTGGCGTATCTCAATAGAGCGCATTTGCACAAAAAAGTTGTCAACTACAAAAATAGAGCTCTATTTTTGTTTAGTATACTCTGAAGGTTTCAAACAAATGTCAACATTTTGAACCATCGTACCTGATCGATTACAGTAATCGGAAGTGATAAGCATACTCCAAAATCCACACATGACAAGACTATGACATAGATCAGAGTGTTATCCAGTGTAGCACGAGACGAACGGATGACATGGTAGATTGTTGTTAGTACTGCCACGTTTCCGCAGGTACCTGTAGTTTGTCTGTTTGATCTGTTTGTCCGGATGTCCTTGAGGATCTCCTAATTCAAAGTTATTGTTTCAAAACTATTCAAATTTTATATCATTTTGTGGGAGCTCTTCAAGTTCTATACTTCCCAGTTTATCTAATCTAGAAATTTTGAGAGTGAAGCGAGTTATGCGTCTTTGAAGAGATTCAAAGTTGGAAGCTCAGAATCTTGTATCTGTGTGCCTGTGTATCTGGATGTCCCTGCTTCTTTAAAGGCGCATAACTTGTATCAAAATCGAAATTTCTAGACCGGACAAAATGTAAAATGTAGAATTTGAAAAGTTCTACAAAATGATATAAAATTTGAATAGTTTTGAAGACTAATTTCAAATCAGGAGAACCTAAACACCACAGGAAAGTAGGTAGTCCTATTATGACACACACCCAGTTGTTTGTTGCATAGGTGGCGCACCTTTGAATTCTAACTAATTAAGTTTTATATCATTTTGTAGAACTATTCAAGTTCTACATTTCAAATTTTATTTGGTCCGGAAATTCCAAGATTGAAGTGAGTTATGCGCCTTTCAGGGCTACATGCCAAAAATTCTGATTAGTAAGAGCCAGGAAATGTGCTCTATTGATAAAGCATGGAAATGCAAAACTATTTAAATTTAATATGATTGTGTAGAGCTGTTCAAGTCCTACATTTTGCATTGTATCGGGTCCAGAAATTCCTAGATTGAAGCAAGTTATGTGCCTTTAGGGGCTACATGCCAAATTTTTTGATTCGTTTGGAAACTCAAAATCTTGTGTGTCTGTGTATCCCGATGTCCGCACTCACCTAACAAGAAAAGGAGCAGATAGGAGACGGCCATTATCATGACATGAAGATCCTCATGGTTCGGTGGAGGTAGCACATCGTTGACAATGTTGTACTTTTTCTGGAAATTTTTGATTTTTTTTTTCATTTTGAGCTAGCTCCCCTTGTCCAAAAAAACTTCTGCTCTTTTCGAGCCAAAAAAGGAACAAAAACCCATGACTCTTAATCCCCTTTTTTCTTCCCTTTCCCATTCATTTTGTACTACTACTAAAATCAAATTATTTCAATGTTTCCTCTTTTCCTTTTGTCTCCCTTTTCCCTTTTTTTCTCTCTTCTACCATCACCAAATCGGGAATCACATCAATTATGCACATCGCCATGTGCCTTTTTTTTGGTTTGGTTCAAAAGAGCATGAAGAGAATAATGAGAAACAGAGGAAGTGTGCATTTGTGCATGCCACGTCATTCTCTGTCTGGAGATGTTGGACAGCCTAACTCCGCTCAAATTTGGAATTTTAGCTGGATTTAAAATGTAAAAGGTAGAACTTGAGGAGCTCTACAAAATTATATTAAATTTGTTTAGATTTGAATAACGAGTCTTGAACTACAAGAGCCGCAAACTGCGGCCCGCAAACGATGACACCACCCAAGCGATTTTTCGGGCCTTGCTGTTTGACGGCTTGTGGTTCAAAACTCAGCACTTGAATATAGTTGAATTGACTATTGTTGTGTAGATCTTGTCATTTTCTACATTTAACTTTTTAGTTTGTGCTAAAATTCCAAGTTTGACCCTAGTTATCCGCAATTCCGCAATCATGGCCGGTTTCGTTGAGAGACGAGGCAGGGGTCGCCCCGGAAAATGCAACTCAATTCAAAATCAAAATTTTCAAACCAAATAAAAAGTGAATTGAAACACTTAAAAAAGGCTATAAAACGATAGTGAGTTTGTCTAAACTAGTCTTTCAGGTTTTCGTATCAAACCCGTTTAGTGGGCATTGTTACGTCTTCCAAGCCCTTAGGTGGTTTTATCCAACTTTTTTCAAAATCAAAAGTTTTAAATCAAATAGAAAGGGAAATGAAGCACTTAAAAAGAACTAAAAAATAATATAAAATGTGGTTAGTTGGATTTCATTAGTTCCGGTACAAGCAACAAACATCAGGATGTGTATCATTCTAACTCCATCTACTCTGCTCTTTAATTGTATTTTGGCTTGTAAGATAGAATTCTTAAATTACAACTAATCCAGTTTTATATCATTTTGTAGAGCTTTCCAAGGTCTACATTTTAATTTTTAAAATTGAAAAAAATGTTGATTTTGAAAAAAGTTACAAGGCTATCAGTGATCCCTTACTACTCTCTTACTATTAGTTAGTGTTCAGGAACTTGAGGGACTAATTTGGGGAAATCAGTATTTCAAAACTATACAAATTTTATATCGTCTTGTAGAAACTTTTAAGCTCTACAATTTACATTTTATTTAGTTCCGAAATTCTCAGATTAAAGCAAGTTATGCGCCTTTAAAGGAATCTACATGCCGAAATTTCTGTTTCGTGAGATTTCGCAGAAAAATTGGGATTTGATCTTCTAAAATTCAAAGGCCGGATTTCAACAAATCATAGATTATTCTAGGATTCGCAGAATTCGCAGAATCGTCAGAATTCCAGATGACGTTACGAATATTTTTTAAGAAATTTCTAGAAAATTTTCTATGAAAAATAGTCAAATAATCAGGATGGCCTAGAATTCGGGATTTTGAAATTTCCATGATACCCCAGGAACTCACCATATCATACATAATTTCTGTGACCATATCTACGCCATCCGTACTGTTGTAATCAGACGAGCCCTGGACATAATCAATCAAATCTGACATTTTTTTTCTGAAAAATTTAAAATTTCAAAAAAAATTAGTAGGTCAGAAAGAGAAGATGAAGTGTATAAAAACAAGGAAGATGGGGGTCATAAAAAAGAGTGGGGCGGAGTCGAAAAGTGGATTACGGTAGAGTGAAAGAGACGACGACGACGTCTTCAGAAGGCGTCAATGCTTGTGTGTGTGTTGAATTAATTAGAATAGAAAATGAGAAGAAGAAGAAGAAGAAGAAGAAGAAAAATGATGAGATGAGCAATGGGCGGAAAGACACCTTGATGCCTCCGAGCCGCTCAAAATGAGTCGTTTTGATTAATTTGGTATTGGAAGGAATGAGGAAAAACGGGGAAGAATACTAGATGACGTTAATGAGAAGACGAAGGAGGAGGACGTCTTCAAATTCAATATTCGTGCAGAAACCACGACGACGGAAAATAAGTGGTAGAGGTGGTTCGGAGAGGAAGTTCCCGGTTTCTAGGCATCTGATGGATGGGGGAAGTAGTTCTAAAACGCCTGTTTCTGAATTTTTAAAGTTTGGAACCCCAGAATTTCATAGATTTGAAATTTCGGAATTTCGGAATACCGAATTTTAATGATTTCAAAATCAGAAACTTCAAATTTTGAAGCCTTGGAATTCTGAGAATCTCAGAATATTAGTTTTACAGAATCTCAGAATCTAAAAATCTCAGGATTTCAGAATTTCAGAATGTTGAAGTCTCAGGTTTTAAGAATTCAAACTTTAGGAATTTTGGATTTTCTTACAATTCTAGAGATCCAGAACTAGTAAACTGGAAATTCTGAAAAGAAACTTAAAATTTTTGCATTCTACTTTAAAACTTCAGAAGATTTCCTATTTTCTCCAGGGATTTCAAAAAAATTCTAAATTTCTAAAAGTTCAGATTTTTCGAACTTTCAGAATTTGGGAATTTCAGGATTCCAGGATCTAAGGATCGTTGAAAATATATTTATGAAATTTCAAAAATTACAAAAATATCCAAAAAGTATCTGTAATTATGAGGGCTCCAGAATCTGAGAATCTCAATATCTCTGAATTTTAGAATTTCATAATCTCGGAATCTCTAAATCTCAAAAATTCGGATGCTCCTCTAAAAGATTTTCTCAGCTCCTTTAAAAGATACATTCTGAAATTCTAGACTGAAAAATAATTCTAATTTGAAACCTAAGAATCATTTTACAACCTTCTAAAACATCCGGTTACAAAATGACCATTTCATTTTAATAATTATATTTCTTCTTCTCTGCAGAAGTGACACGTCATTGACGTCATCTGAATTAAGTCCACCCGTTTTTCTTCCACTTTCAATCAGTGGAAGTGGGCGAAAAAAGTGGGAAAAAGGACATCAAAGATTGGAAAGAGAGAGAGTTAATTAGAAATTTATTGGGTGCTTAGTTTGGTAATTTAGTTGAAAAGGATGGGAGCAAAAATAGGAGGAAGAAATTTTAAGAGCAAAAAGTCTTAAAATCCGTCTCAAAATACAAATAATCTAATTTCAAAACCTCCCAAAAATTTAAAATATTCAGAATTTCTGGATTTCAGAATCTCAGAATTTCAGAATTTCAGAATTTCAGAATTTCAGAATTTCAGAATTTCAGAATCGCAGATGCTCAAAAATTTCAAGAATCTGATTCTCTTGCATTTTCAGAGAACTCTTGGGATCTGAAAACACTTAGATTTCCAGAAAATTTCAGTGCTCCTAGGCAGAATTTATGGTTTCTGGAAATTCTGAAAAAAAGGAAAAAAATGATTTACGGTGCTCTCTTTCAACATGTCTAGGAAAGATTTTCTAGAAAATGTACTAACTTTTTGGAATTTATTTCTGCAAAATCCAGGGAATTGAAATTTTAAAAAAAGCGAAAATAAAATGGAAAAAAATAATAAAAAAGATGATGAGAGAATGGGAAGAAGAAGAAGAAATATACGAATAATTGGGGTGAAGAAATAATAAAAAAATAAGGGAAAAATAGGAATACGTTACCATAGGAAATTGAGGAAAAAGGACGGAAATGAAGAGGAGTTGTTTCTTATTATTTTGATTTCTCAGAAACATATTAAAAAATAAAGGAAATTAGGGAACAAAGTATTGGCTGGACAATGAAAGCATATTTTTAGGATACCGTAAAACCTGTAATAGAAGGGCCCCCCCACACTGTCAAGTTTGAGCTCAATTATCTCGCTTTCTATGAGAGATATCCAAAATCTGTATACTGATCAGTGTGTGCTATCGGTACGGTTTCAGGAAATTTACCGGTAATTTTACCGGTAACTTACCGGTAAAGTTTTACCGATAAATTACCGGTTTTTTACCGGTAAAGTTACCGGTAATTTACCGGTAAATTTCCCGAAAACTACCGGTAATTTCTAGGAAAACTTTCTGTTTTTATTTAATTTGTAACCGCGCCGATTTAGAACCGCGACGTTTTAAAACCACGACATTCAAGAACCGCGACATTTTAGAACCGCGACATTTTAGAACTGCGACGTTTCAGAACTACGACATTTTAGAACCGCGACTTTTCAGAACTGCGACATTTTAAAACTGCGACGTTTTAAAACTACGATATTTTAGAACTGCGACGTTTTAAAACTACGATATTTTAGAACTGCGACGTTTTAAAACTACGACATTTTAGAACTCCGACGTTTCAGAACTGCGACGTTTCAGAACTACGACATTTTAGAACTGCGACGTTTCAGAACTGCGACATTTTAGAACCGCGACATTTCAGAACTGCGACATTTTAGAACTGCGACGTTCTAAAACTACGACATTTTAGAACTACGAAGTTTTAGAACTGCGACGTTTCAGAACTGCGACGTTTCAGAACGGCGACATTTTAGAACTGCGACGGTTTAGAACTAGACATTTTAGAACAACGACATTTTAGGACTGACCATTTCGGAACTGTTGCAAAACTGTCAAAAAGAACTAGTGAAGCAGCAGGAAAAAATATTCGTGAAGTCCTCGAGGAAAATAAAAATTTTACCGGTAAAATACCGGTAAATTTTCGGTAGTTTTCAAATTTACCGGTAAATTACCGGTAAAATTACAAAAATAGCCGTTACCGGTAAGTGAAAATCGGAAGTCACACACTGATACTGATGAAATATTAGTTATATTATGATAGATAACTTCTCAGTTGACAAAACTTTGATATCTTTTACAGGAATGTAGATAATTGATCTCAAACTTTTGCGTTTGGAGTCCTTCTATTACATGTTTTACGGTTTCTGAAGTTGAGGAATTCGGCAATTCAGAATCTTTAAATTTCAAATTTTGAAAAATTATATAAAATCCTGAAATCCTAAAGTCCCGAAAACCCCAAAATTTTCAGTTTTCCAAAAACTCAAAAAATTTGAGAACTTTATGCTTCTAAGAGGTTTTAGTTTTTGAAAGTTCAGAATATCTGAAATTTTGAGAATATCCTGAAATTCAAAATGCAGAATTTGAGAATTCCTGAATGTTCAAATCTTGAGAAATTCCTAATTTTTCGAAATTCTGAAAAATTCGAAACTCCTAAAAGTTCTAGAAATTCAAAGCTTTTCAAACATTTCAAGAAATTCAGAACTTCAGAATCTTCAAACCTTCAAATTTCAGAAATACTGGAAAATTTCTATAATACTTAAGTCTAGACATCCCAAGATTTTTTAGAATTCTAAAAATTTCAGAATTTTCAGAATTTCTCAGGAAAATATTAAACATTTTGAAAAACTGCAGAATCTTCGAATCTTGAATTATCAGAATCGAAATTCTGGAAATTCAGACAATTCAGATTTTTGAAAATTCCCAAAAAACAAATTCAGTTTCTAAAAATTTTCTAATTCAAAAAAATTGAGAGTTCCAAGATTTTCCAAAAATTCTGAATCTTAAAAATCCAAAAAACTTCAGAGATTCAGAATCTTTATATATCGAAAGTTTTGTATCCCAGGATTTAAGAATCCTAGAATTCAGGAATCTTACAATTAGGAAGTTTGAATTTCTTGAAAATTTTGATTCTTTCAATTTTAAGAAAAAGTTTAGGATCAAAATTCAAAATTCATGAAAATTCTGAAATTAAAAAAATGAATAGGAGAACGTCTAGCTTTTTCCATTCTCCAGATGACGTTTAGAGACAAAAAAAAATAATTGAAAAAATTTAATTTTTTCCTCTCTCTCCCCTTCCATCTGTCTCATTTTTTCCTATTGTTACTTACTTATCAAGTTTAGAACTTCTTGAATTTTTTTCTGGAATTTTCAAACTGATTTTTATGAAAAGCGCCGTTTTTTGAAATTAGAAAAAATTTCGAATCTGAAGAGAAAAAGATTTTCAGACATAAAATATCAAAAAACAGCCAGAGGGGAAAAAATACATAGTAAGAAAAAAACGGAAAAGTTCAATTTTCGAGGGGGAGAGAGCCGCTCGATTTTAATTAATGGGAAAGTGGGCGGAGCCTAGAGAAGAAAAAGAGAACTAGGGAGAGATTATTATGAATTCATTTCTTCTTTCATTTCCTTTTTTTCTCTCTTTTTTTTTACTTCATTTGGGGGTTTTTTTGTGTTGCTCACTCATCATTAAATGGAATGAAGAAGAAGAAGAAAAAGAAGAAGAAGGAGGGGAAGGGAAATAAGAAAAAAAAAGGACATCGGGATTTTGGCAAACACAGAGAGAAATGGAAAATGGGAATTTTCGAAAAATTGACAATTTTTCAAATTTGAAGTTTGAGAAGCTTCAAAAATTCGGAAACTTCAGAACTTTGGAGATTTGAAACTTCGATATTTCAAAAAATTAGAAATGTTAAGCTGGAAAATGTTTAAATTTTAGAAAAAAAGAATCTGAATTTTATAGATTCGAAGTTTTGAGTTGTGAAATTTTAGGGATTCTAGGATAATTTTGAGATACTTGAGATTCTTTAAAAAAATCCAGTGCCAGAAGTTTTTGAAATTCTAGGGGTTTTTAGAATTTTTAAAACTTTACAGAATTTTTCGTAAATTTTGAAATTCTAGAAT